AATCAGTAAGATCCAGACCAAGCATAATTCAGGGTTAGAAACTTGAATTCTTTGTGACATCTCTTACTGACCAGGAAATTGTCTGCTTCCTATCCAAACTTGAGGCTATGTCTGGTTGCCCGTGGATGCTGGGATTCTGGCTGGCAGGGCCTAATTTATGCCAACATGGGACAGCCTTACTTACTCCATAGTGTTCCTGTGAGGTACATCACAGTTCATGTACACAGAGTGTGTGGTCTTCTGCATGTTATGTTAATTGCTATCAGGATTTTTTTTCCCCCACTGTATTACCCAATTCCTCTTTTAAGAAAATATCAGTAATTATTTTTAGAGATTAAGTCTAAACAAATTTGTTCTTTTGGGCTTCTGCTTCTCATCTCTAAGCAATGAGAACTACATAAATCCATCATGCTCTCAACACCCTGGCTGCTAGGAAGCTAAGTCCAGGGTTGGGCTTAATAGCTCTGATGTTCCTCAGATAGGAATTCTTATAATTCTAGGTTTTTGGGTTTTTGTTTTTTTTTCATTCTCTTGGCCCTTATTTATTTGTTCCTGCTCCTATTTTCTTGATCAGTAGTTTGGTCTTGTTATACTGCTCAGATGGCCCTTATATAATTACTTTAAATATGTTTTGAGTTCAGCAAGAAATAGAATAGCTAATTAAAAAATTAGGGATATGTCATCATAATTTTGCAGCTTTTTTAACTGTATCTCAAAGGCTGACCATTGGTCTATATGGTAGCAACTGCTGTCTTCATTTATTAGTTGCAAAGTTCATTCCAGTGAATAATTCAGAGAAGTTTTTTTTCCCAATAGTCAAATCTATATATCAACAAAAAAGCAAAAACTAAACATTTGATTGCTTGGTGATGTCGGTATTTAAGAAACAAGGTAATCCCAGGGCAGCAATAACAGAAGGTGTCCCTCTTTAGTCTGTTATCTCTGCTTATCGATCAAGGCCATGTTGGTCAAAGTGTGGTCACTTATCTTTTAAGTCATTAGTGTCAATTTTTCCTTCTCCAAATCTCATGGCAGTGCTGATAACAAGCTTCTTGCTTTGACTGTGGAAGTATCATGAGCAAGAATTCAACAAAAATAAATAACATATGTTCCCCTGTACTGGACTTGGCTCATCACTTTGGGCCTGCTTTGTCACATCTTTTGGACTATCAGATCTTTTTTAGGTGCCAGGATCTACTTTTCCCACCACCAGCCGGGAAGATACAAGGCTTTCCTCCCAGGTAAAGACTGAACTATTGATAGACACTTTGTCAAGACCAAGTGCTTTCCCCAGAGCCCTGCCAAAGACCGCACCCTGGGCAGGATGCAGCCTCCCTCAGAGTGAAGGACACTCCAGGGGACCCTCCTTGTCCTCAACTGGCTAATAAATTAACCATTAAGTCACATGTGCCAGGTTAGAACAAAGTTACCAGTTCCCATTGCTTTAATCCTCCCAAATTACATGGCCCTGAGCTGCCTGAACTGAAAGTTGGATTAAATTCTCTTGAGTAATGCTCATCGCAGGTCCTCAGCCCCTTCCTGCTAAATATTAGCTAAATATTAGCTTGGGTCTCAGCAAAGAGAAAAGGTCCAAACTCTCCTTTTGGCTAATGATTTGTTTATTAAACATAGATGTCTCAAACCTGTAATTCTAGTTTTAATTGCTTTTATTCTGTTTGAAAGAGCAGTAGCTACCAGAGGGGAGAGAGCAAACTTTTATTAACTATATAGCATGTGTTGGGCACCCTACATGCTCTGTTATTTGGTCCTTACGACAGTTCTGGGAAGGTGATTAGTGGCTGTACTTCTCAGATAAGCACCGGAGACTCGAGGAAACGAGTGGTCACCCAATGCCATATAACTGGCAAAGGATGGAGTCCAGTTTGAACTCATATAGCTCCTGTTTTTCTCTATGAGGCACATTTTTCTTTGCCAATCTCAGCAATGACAGAGAAACAGAAAGAAAATGAAAAAAATGTAGTTGGTTTGTCACTTAAGCTGTAACGACACTGGAGCCAGGTGGCTGGTGCTGGATGGTCTCTAGGGCAGGATCCTTGGGAAGATCCCTGAATTGCTGACCATGATTCATTCAGTCCTTTCTGTTGCCTGGATTATTTGATCCCAAGACTGTGCTATAACTTTTTGGGTGAAAAAACAGAGCTAAGCGTCTATGCAGCACTCACACTTCCTATCTAATGCCTTGATTCCAGAGATGCCTGCTTCACACCTAAAGGGGGGTGCTACATGCAAGGAGTTTGCTTGCAATGACTGACCTATGCTTTAAATACAATTTCCTACTTGTGCTGGGTTAGGCTACTTCACGTGGACTCGGAGGGACCTCAGGGACAGGTTCTGGGGAGCTAAAAGTACTGGCAGTAATGCTGATAGCACTTAGTACTCCTACGGAGTACTCCATTCTCCCCATAACTCTGGAAAGAGACCCAGGGTCGTTGGAGTCAGGATTAAATAAAGAGTCAGTGGTGATAAAGGGGATGACACGCCCCCATTCCTCCACCTAGACAAGCTTCTTAGCCCTTCCCGCCCCCTCCCCACAATACACACACACACACACACACACACACACACACACACACACATTCTCCAGTAAAGAACTATCTCCCTTCCATTTTGCTGTTGTTGGGATCCCAGGTTTCAAAATGAAGACTTTGGTTTCACCTTGTTTGAATACCGAGACTGGGACCTGGCGGTGTGTCTTTAGAGCCAGAATACTTATGTGTTCCTTAAGAATAGGCAGCACGGAGCAGCATGAAAACCACAGAAATGCTTTTGAGATTCAATTTAATCTTTAGGCTATAAAACCAACTGTAATGATGAGGGGGGCTTTTGATTTCTCTGCAGAGCCTGGGCTTCCTTTGAGAAAACTCACAAATTTGCAAATGTGATAAAGATAACACTTTTCAGTAAACTGCTATTTCTTCCTCTTTACTATTTGGTTTAAATAATTTTTGAGCTTCATTCCAATTCTTTTCACTGTGTGTGTCAAGAGAAAGTCATACAGAGAAAGGTTTGACCATTATATTCTTTTCTATCACAAATTCTCTTCTCAAAATTGTTATCTGAGAGAAATGAAAGTAATTGTATGTTGTTGGGTTATGGTTAAATGCTTTCAAGTGACATGTTTTTTTCCTTTAAATAATGCATTTTCTGATCTACCTGACTGCAATACTTAAAACGTCATGCACCCAGTGCCATCTAATCTAAAATAGGATTTGCTGTTATTGCTAAAGATTTTACAAATACCCCTTTAATAATCGTGCTTAATATTGATAATAGAAAACAAACATGGATTTGTTTTTTTAATTAGAATTTTGTTAGGCTTATGTTTTGGATTAAGGAAGAGGTGTCGTCAATTAATGATTTTATTCTATTTTTATTGCAAACAAGAATGAAAACAGGAACAAATATTTGCATACTGAATCCCCTTCAGTGGGCAGTGCTGGCCTTGGTGGAAGTGGAGGTCTCTGCACATGTCTGTTAAGTCCCAGGGACTTCTGGGGCTTTATCAGAAGCTCATGTTAAAAACTAATTTTTTCTCATCAGATTCTAGATAGAGAAGACATGTTATCCAATGTAAATGGTGACTAGATCCTTTCTGTGACAGGCAGCAAGTATGACAGTGTGAACCAGACCCCAGAGCTGTGCGGCAATTCTTGGCATTTCCTTCCATGAAGAACTCTACCCACTTGGGTTTGCCTTGCAGTGCTCTTCACACACGTGTGACCTGCCAAAATCTTTTAGCATGTCCTGTAACTCTGTTTGTGGCAGGTCCCCTCACCTCCCCAGGCCCCAATTTCCTCTTCTGCAAATGACGGAAATGGTCTATAACTTGTTCCAACCCCCTCTTCCATCTCTAGAATATCCAATACATTAAAATGGACAGGGTGAAGATCAGTGCCTCTAAAGACAGTAAGGTTTCTCTCGTCTGAGGGCAAAGATGTGCCTGGCAATCATTTACTGTTCTCTCGACACTGTGAACTTTCTTTCAACAGACACCTACCATGTGATCCAGACATTCTACTCCTAGCTATTTACTCAAAAGGAATACAAACATATCCTCACCAAGACCTGCACATAAATCTATTCACAATAGCTGCAAACGAAATACCCCACATGCCCATTAACAGATGAATGAATAAACAAAATGTAGCACATCCATACAATGGATTACTATTTAGCCATGAAAAGGAACTACTGATACCTGCAGCAATGTGAACTTCATTATGCTGAATGAAAGAAGCCAGACACAAGAGTACATGCTGTATGCTTCCATTTACGTAAAATTCTAGAGAATGCAAACAATCCATTATAGTGACAGAAGTCAGTGGTTGCCTGTGGGCTGCAAAAGGGTATGAGGGAGCTTTTGGAGGTGATGAAAATGTGCTGCATCTTGATGGTGATGGTCATTTCTCAGATGTGTGCAACTGTCAACGCTCATCAAATTGTGCACTTTACATGGGTGCAACTTATTTCTCAATGTTACTAGGGACATTTTTTTGGTAAGCTCTTGACTGTAAAATTTGAGGCTTGAAGAAAATACATAATGGGCAGCAAATAAGTTTTGTGAGGCCATGATAGCAAAAAAGAGTTGGCGAACCAAAGAGAATAATCTTAAACATTCTGGAAAGGCCTTTAGTTTGTGGGCAGCATACAGGAATTTGTAGGAAAAGAATTTTATTTTCTGGTTTCTGGTCACCCCTAGAACAAAGAACTAACCCTGGGCACCCGGCGCAGATGGAGCTTGACTCGCTCTTTCTCCAGCCCTCTGTGGATTCCCGAGAGCTTGCTGGTTCAGCAAACATGGGCAGGAGCAGGTGGGCCGGAAGCCGCCTGTCTTTTTAGTGGGTCGGGTTCCTTAATCCTGACTTCTCCCTTCGCTCTGGCTGAGGTGGAAAGTGTCTACTCAGTGGTGGATTCCAGTCCACATTTTGAATGTTGTATTCACAAGTTAGAAAGCTGTAGGGCACATTCTTCCTTTACAGGCCACCTGGAGCAACCTATTTTCCTTGGCGCTACTTACAGAACCACAGGATGTGAGAGTTGGAAGGAACCTCAGAGATTCTCCTGTCCAACTTCTCAAAGGAGGCACCTGAGGCCCAGAGAAGGTAAGTGACTGGCCTAAGCTCACACAGCCAGGGGCAGAACTAAAAATCATTGTCCTCTAGGAGTCTCTGCACTTCATTACATTCGCTCATAACTCGCTGGAAAAGTACAGCCTACGATCTCTAGCTGCCGAAAGCCAGATCCTGAATCCAAACTCAGCTTGCTGCATTTTTTTTTTTTAAGTCAAAGCTGTAAAATGGTTGGATTCTAGCTGAGAGAAAGGCAGCAAATTCTCAGTTCTGACCTACTGTGAGGAAATGTAAGAACCAAATCTCAGCATGGGAATGAATGAGAGGCATTTATGATTATTGTAGAACTTGGCAGCAATTACAAAAGCCTGCTCCATGGTGAAAAAGACCATGTTCAATTTCCATTCTTATTTGCATCTGTGAAAATAGAATAAAATTATTTCCTGGGTAGGCACAGTCTCTGTGACTAGGAAATGCTTCTTGGTCATTACTATTCCTGTCACTCTTCATATATTTCCCCTTGATGGCTATTGAAGTAACAGATATTTTATACAGAGAGAACATTCATCGCCACAGATTCTTCACTGAAGTTGAATCAGATTTTTCCAGTGCAGCAGCCACTGCCAGGGAGTAAATTAGGTTTTTCTGAAGCTGCACGAACAGTCCAACACGGCTCTTGGACATGGGCATGTCCAGGTCCCAGCAGCACCCCCCAGCTCTTCTCACATCTGGCCCTGGGAGCAGGAGCCAGTTCCCCGGGGCTCGTGATGTTCTGTCCTCCTGGTGTCTGGACAGTGCCCACGAGGCTGGCACTGGTGCTGTTTTGGGGAGATAAAGACGACACTTGTGTAATTTAGCAGTGGACTTGGCCCTTTGGATCACCTGCTGAGTGCTGGTTAACACGTTTTGCTTTTGTGCAGATGCCCCGGAATATCAGTTGCAGAGTTTGGCAGAATGACTAAGATGGTAACTTTAGGAAGATGACTTCAGGTTGTTAGAATCACCCTGAACTGAAGCAGCAGCAGCATTCCTCATGAGGGGACCCCCAGATTAGCGAGTGACGGCACTTCTGGAGGTGTGCACACTGGTGAAGCCCCACCCGTCCCAGTAGTGTTGTTTCTGTGCCACTTTGTCTCGTCCCGATGGCCATGCTGTGCTGCGGAAGCAGCAAACACTGTTCGTGTTTCAGACACAGCAGCCCAGTGCGTGGGGCTAACACTAGTGTCCAGCACTTTCTGCTGTGGAGCCCTGCGGGGGCGGACATTTCTTCTTCTTTGCCGCCTGTTTCCACGCCCTCGGACTACAGGTGCCTGTGTGTCCACAGGGACATGCTGTTGGTGTGTAGTGTATCCTGGTGAATGACTAAATTACTTGAGCAAGTGGATAATAAAAGTACTGACCATAAATGGGGACTAATCAAATCAGTGTACTAGTGATACAAGAAATCACAGTGTACTGTGGGAGAACTGAAACTTTTTCTAAAAAAATCCATTAATGACCAGCATAGATCTTGGAAAGTTTTGTGTGCATTACATAACCATGAAGAATCGAGGCGGACACTTGAAAACATCACATACCTCTGCTAATCCCTTGAATTTAAATCATTGAGGTTAAAAGTGTTTGGGGAGCCTGAATTGGATAATTTTCTTATTAATTATAAATGTAGTCTTTTGTTTACCTAAGAAACAGGAATACAATTGTTATTGCAAGTCACTTTTATTTTTTATCTATTTTTTTATCAGCATTAAGAATGCTGTAATATCTCTTACCCTTCTTAGAACTATCCGTTCTCTTTTCACTGAAAAATTTCTGCAAGAATTGTGCATTCACAAATCATCTCTACTTCCTAACTTTCCATTTGCTCTTCAGGCTTGTCCACCCTGGCTTCTATCCCCCATGCTCTGCCAAAAGTGCTCTCCAAGGTACCCAGTAACCTGCATGCCACCTACTCCAGAGAGTGTTTCTGAGTTCTCATCTTAACTCCTCACAATATCTGAGAATCCCTCGATTGCACATGAAAGAAAACCCAACTCCATTTGTGGCAAAGCAAACAGTAAGTTTCTTGCATTGTTGAATAACTTTCTCCACTTTTTTCTTCCTGGCATTAATCAGATATTGGATTAGCCAAATTAATCCTCTATCTTTTCTGTTGTTCATCTCCTTAGTTTATTCAGTTCTAAGAGTTTCTTCCCGCTATCTTTTAAACTTTGTACTGAGTTTGTAATGTCAGCTATCGGTTTTCGTTTTCAAAGTGTTGTTACTTGTTCTCAGAATACTTTTTATTGCAACACATTCTTGTTTCATGGGTGCAGTTCACTTTTTCTGATAAAAATATTTTTTTTCTCTTAGTCTTTGAATTGTCTGAGTTACTTCTTCAGTTTGTTGTAACCTTGACCCATGGTATGGAGACTTTCAGAAAATGTTTGTGATTCTAAGCAGTCTTCATATTCTACAGTCAGACGCTGGGAGCCTTGGGGGCAGGGAGGGTCGAGCTGGCTGACTGGTGGCTTTGGGGGTAGGTTGATTGGGTGGGAGGCCAGCTTTGTCATTTGGCAAATCACCATCCCCTGCCCCCCCACAAAAATATCAACACATGATGGTCTTTTCTCTGGGGCCATTTAGTTTCTCCAGAGGGATCTTCCAGGCTCCTATGGGGGTATGGCAGCCTAGCTAAGGGCCTCCTGCTTCTGAAGGAGTGTAACTTAATCCTCTGGTGTTCTGCATTACCTCTGCACTCCTTTTGTACCTGCTATTTGAGTCTAGATCTTGTCTGGTTCATTTTATCCAGATAATGAACCTCTAGTGTCTTGCAGTAGGCAAGGAGGGCCTGGAGGTGAGAGGTCTATTGCTCCTGTTTGAGACTCTCCACCTCTCTCCTTTCCACCCTTACACCTCATCCCCACCTTTCAAAGAACACAGTGCCTCCAAGTGCTTGACCTGTTTCTCAGTACCTACTGCGGACTTTCAGGTCAGCTCCCTCCACTCAGTTAGGTCATTTGCCTCCCATGCACCTTTCAAACACTTGTCCATAATTTTCTCCTGTTTTTTTATTCACTTGCCACCATGTTAGGTAGGGCTTGAGGGAGGAGTATCAATAAAAACGTATTTCAAGCCACAGTATGTAACTAAAAGTTCATTGACTTCTATATTTTTCGATTCTTTAGGATCAAATGCTTTCCAGTCAGCAAATAGAAATCCTGCATTTTTCAGTTGCACCGCTTTCTACAAAGGGCCAATGTAAAGGTAAGCTTTTGTTTTTTGTTGTTGTTAATTTAAAGTGTTGCCTATTGCAGAATATTTATATTGTGGCATGTGAATGAAATTGTGTTCTATTAAAGACAGAAATGTATGATTATTGCTGCCTTTTCAGATCATCTCAGAGTATCTCTTCCATTCTCAGGTGTTATTGTTTCTAAATTACTCAAACTTTTGGGGTTTTTTTGTGAAGAATTTTGGTATATCTTCAGGAGAAGAATAGCTGACATTTATTTATGCATTTAATCCAGACAATAGCCATATGAAGTAGGTATCATTGTCTCCATTTTACAGATGAACAAATTGAAGCACAAAGTAGTAATTTGTCCAAACTCACAGCTAGTATGTGTCTCAAGAGTCCTTGCTCTTAACCACTGTGACATTCTATACTGCCACATCTTTTTATTTGATGAAACTTTAGATTTTCCCACCTACTTCCCCAAAAGGAAATTTAAATATTAAAATACCTAGAGAAGTTTAAAATCCACACACACAGCCAATTAAAAGGAGCAGAGAACTGTGTAGAGCAGAAGTCTGAGAGGAGCCAGTTTTTCCATCAGAGCACTATATTTGGCTCTGATTTCCTGCCAACTAATGAAATAAAATATGTTAGATTATATGGTTCTCACTGTTTTTTACAGCAAGCATGCAAATTATTTTGTGGAGAAAGAAGTTTTTGGCAACTTGAATTCTAGAAGCAATTTCTACAATTCTAATAACTCTGTATTAGCGTTTTTTAAAAAACCCTTTTTAAACCATGAAATGTATTGCATATTCAGAAAAATACATAGATGTGAAGCTTACTGAACTATTGTAAGGTGAACCCCCACCCTGGCCAGAAATAGGGGCTTGACAACCCCACAGAAGCTCTCCAGAACATGCTCCCTTCCAGCTGTAAAGCTCTCCTTCCCCCCACACGTGACCAAACCATTATTAATAGAACTACCTTTGCTTTTTAAAACGTTTATGCCTAAATAATATTGTAAATGCTATAGTTTAGTTTTGCTCATTTAACTTTATATGGAATATTATTCTTTTTGGTTTCAGACTCATCCAAATTGTTGTGTTGCTATATTCCTTTTTATTGTTCTCTAGCACTCCGTCATATGGTTACACATTTTAGGAATATACAATTGTCTGTTCATCAGTGGATGGACATTTAGGTTATTTTGGTTGTTGGCTATTATGAAGAATGCTGCTATAAGCATGCTTGCAGGTGTCTTCTGATTCAAGTATACACATATTTCAGCTAGGTCATAGCATGAGCATACATCCAACTTCTGTAGCTAATGCCTGGCGGTTTTCTAAAATAGTTGTACCATTCATACTACCACTAGTATTGTGTGTAAGTTCTTGTTTTCTAAATCCTTGACAATACTTAAAACTGTCAATCTTCTCAATTTGAACTATTCTTGCGTGCAATGGTCTCTCATTTTGGTTTAATTATGTTCTTGTTACTAATAAGGTAGACTTTTTTTTGTATGCATATTGGCCATTTGAATTTCTCTTATGAATTGCCTATTTGAGATTTGGGATTTTATTCTAAGTGCAACGGAAAGCATCTGAAGGGTTTTATGCAGGGGAGAGAGATTTGATCTCACCTCTTTGTGGGTGAATAAAGTTGGAAGGAGACAAAAGATCATTTAAGAGGCTAGTGCAGTAGTCTAGCTGAGAGATGACGATGGTCTAGACCAGAAGGTAGTAAGGGACAGGAAAAGCAGTCAATGTATGCCACATGTAAACTGGAATTAAACTTGATAGGATTTGTTGGAGATAGGATGTGGAGGGTGAGAGTGAGAAAGGCAGCAAGGATAACTTCTAAGTTCTAAATTGCAGAGCTGCATGAACTGTGAAAGATGGGTAAAGCTGAGAAGGATTGGACCAAAGGTGCCATTTTGGACACGTTCTATTTAAGATAGGTATGAAGCATCCAAATGAGGAGCTCACCAGGGAGCCGAAGACACACTTATCTAGTATTCTGAGAAGAGGTACAGGCCAGGAAAAAAATGAAACTGGGAATTGTCATGACACATGTCATTTAGAGCAATGGGAGAGACAAACTAGGAAGAGACAAGCTCTTCTCTTCTCAAGGTTGTCTGAACTGAAAGCTGAGCACTAGTTGGACCTTAAAAGGGCTAAGAGTGAGGGCAAGATGCTATGGGGAATAATGAAGGGGTTTTAAAGCAAAGCTCTCTGCCACTTAGTAGTTGTCACCTTTGACAATTTAACATCTAACCCCTTTTCATATGCCGCAAATGGTTAATAACATTTGTATTGGGTTGCCAGAAAAGTCATGAAGCGTTTTTGAAAAAAAAAAAACAAAACAGAAAAAATGTCATGACTTTTCTGACAACCCAATAGAATTGTGATTAAATCAGATTCTGTAATTCTTCCTTTCACATCTTAACTTTCTTATTCTTCTATTTTCAATGTTCTGATTAAGTATTTTGACACACAGGGAGGGTAAGACACCTATTGCCCACGTGCTTTCCAAATTAATGCTCAATGGATGGACTTTAGATGGTGTTGAGGTAAGAGAAGTACTTTAGACAGACATGTGTGCCAGTGTAAAGACAGGAGACGAGCATGTAAAATGAAGATACTGGAGTAAAGGCTTGGCAAGGAGACCCAAGTCTCTCCACAGAGAGCCTTGTAGCTTTGATGCATGTTTTCCTTAGCCAGCATGGAGGCAGGAAGTCCTGGACTCTACTGAATACACTGCAAGGCCTGGCCACTGGGATTACTAACAGGGAGGAATTTGAGATTAGAAAGATGTTCAATAGCCTGAGTATATGGAGTCGGTCACAGCAATAGCCAAGAGCAAATGGAGGAGGCAGGTGAGAGAAAGAAGTAGGAGGCCCCTGTGATCAGAAGACGGACCCGGTTAAACTCAGTAGGAGAATGAATGGGTCATCAGTCTATTAGAGGTTAAACAGCTGACAAAAAGTTAGGTTTAGAAAAAGATGAGAGTACATACCTGGTGAGCAAGAGAACTTGTGAATGAGCAAGACTACTAGTGGAGAGATCTGGTAAAAAATGCCAACAGTGAAGAACAAAGTTTCTGGTGTGCAACAAAGCTGTGGGGTCTCTGTGGAATAAACTGGCAGAGGGACAGTGCTTGAGAAATACAGTTAAATGTGGTATCAATCAGTAGCTGTCAGAATGTAGGAAATGTAGGAAGTTTTGCACCAAAGAATTTTAAACCTCTCCCAAAGAGCTTCTTGTAGCAAAGAATTTATGAGGTTTTCAACCATCTTGTAGAACTCAGCAGGGTCAGGATGAATGACAGAGTAGCAAAGGATTAAGGAATCCTAGTCACTCCTAGATTTTCAGGAGAAGTTTTCACCTCTTAGTAAAGATGGCTAATCCAACAGAGAAGTCATTAGGTCAGCCCATCCCAAGCCAACCGCACCATGATGTTCCTAAGGGTGAACTAGGTGCGAGGGTCTTCTGAAGTACTGTGTTGAGAGTTGTATTAATGTACCTTAATTCAAGAGGCACAAGGTTCTATTAGTTTGGCTAAAGCTCCTCTATTAAGTTCATTCTCTAAACTCTCATGGAAAAACCATCTAGTAACCAAAGCCCTCTGGTTAGCTGCAGATATTATTATGGAGGGAACACATGGAAGTGAGGTCCTTCCTTGGAAAAATTTCTCACTTCTTAATATAGAATCCTAGAGCTGGAAAGAAGTCCCAAAGTTCATCCTGTTCAGCCCATCATTTTATAAATGCAGGCTTGGGAAAACAGGAGGGCTTGGCAGCATCTGGAGCTAAATCCCTTAAAAGACGCCTGCCCTCAGATGTGCCTCTTGCGTGTCCGGGACTTCATCAAGTCAGCACCGGTAAGAGCATCCACTGGGGTCTAGTTAAGTTAGTCCTGTGTTTAAGTGTAAAGTCAATAATCCACCCCCTATTATATGATCACAAACCGACTACTAAAATGAAAGGCATTTAAACATATTCCAAATTTGGAAGTCGACATTCCCAAACTATGAGGCTAGTTACACAGATAACATGAATATTACTAGCACAGATAAATCTGCCATTAAAATATTACAAATAGTGGCTGAGCAGGCCAAATGTACGGGGTAGACAGTCTCTAAATCCTACTCAACAGAAGTGCACAACTTGCTGTGTTCTTTCTATTCGAAGTGAAGTGATAGTATCTACCAGCAATGTTAAACAAACAAAATGAGGTTAACTCAATAAATATTTTTTATTAAAGAAAAAAATGGAATATTGTTAAGCACCAAAACTGTATGTTGTTACATTGCATGTACAAGAAGAGAAAGGTGATTGCAAAACTTGGTGTACAAGTACTTAACTCTGAAGTCATGAGTGTAAAAACATGAAATACAAAGCAATACAATAATTACGATGCAGAAAAGTTGCACTAAAGAGCAAAAGTCAACAGTCAAAACAATTATTGGAGATTTCAGAGTATTGCTATAAATGCTTGCTTAGTTTTTTCTTTGTACGTTTAATACTTTAGAATGTTAACTGAGCATATTTAAGTATTGTAAATTTGCAAGAGTTGGCATTTACAATACACTGTGCACATTGCCCATGTAATGTAAGGGTGTTAAAGCAATCCTTAAAAGCCAAGCACAATGTGCTAGTGTTTTGCTTCTACCATTATAATATTGCACAAAGCTAGTAAATAGTGAATTGGTTTGCCATTAAAATTTCATTTAACTGGAAAGGCTAAAAAACATGTCAGTTTCATGAGCCTTAATGGGTTTACTCATGCAAAATGATCTATAGCCTTCAATTTTTCATAAACTACATATTATGGTTTCAACCTTGGCAAGACATACAGTACAATGAGAAGTTCAAGGAGACAGTGGGGATTCTGTCCAAGCTGAATAAGTCAGAAGTCACTGTATGGGTTGTACTGTCTACTCCTTTTGGTTCACAAATGAAGGGAAAATGCCATCTTGTGATTATGGAGACTTCTTAAAACCAGTATAATTAGTATTGGGAAAAACTAGAATAACTTGTTACATACACTCTTTGATAGTTAACCATAAAACATGCAAGTTAAATAAAAACCCCAAAATTTCCCTTGTCAAAACTGAACGCTGTAACCAGCACCCACACCTTTTGTACACATCTAAAAATCACTTTCCAGGGTCCTGTCTTAACTCCCCAAATTGAGCCACTCTTAGTTATACCTGATTTAAAAAAACAAAACAAACTTTCCCCTAACCCTCAAAATAAATGATTGCTTTGAGATTCGGTGTGAAATAACATTGATAAAATATTTAATGTCAATCTCAGAGGTATTTTCTGTACACGCACCTTACAGTGTCATAATAAATGTTTGGAGAAGAGGAGAAACATTTATAAATTTGGAATTCAGTCAGTTAAATTCCTCAAATACCAAGCTGTACATTTACTGTGGGCAAAACACAAAATTTCAGAATGAATACATCTTTGACATAACTCAATGGGCAAACATTTAACAGACAGAGAGAGAGAGAGAGAGAGAGAGAGAGAGAGAGAGAGAGAGAGAGAGAATATGAATGAATACCCAGACTCCCTCTCACCCTTAAAAAACCTTTGTCTACATACATGATAGTTTAGGCAGCAATATAAACTCATTTTGTAGGAAAAATTTTTAAATTAGATTATATTTATAGGATAAAAAATACCACTGCTTCATTTTACAAAGCAATTAAGCAGAGACTCTTCTCTATGTGCTTTAACTAAACAGCACTTTGCAGCAAAGTTCAGAAATAGCTACTGAATTGTTCAGTAGCACTAAATAAACACAGCATGCTCCAACAGTAAGGTGCTTCTCCTTTCTTACCTCTCTTCCATCTGAAATCAATCTTGCTGGTCAATCCTCTAACACTAAGCATAGTTCTTCTCCTATGCTAAGCAATAAATGGGGAATATAATCTGTTTAAAATGTACATTTAACTTTATATTATCATTTAAATTCAGTGCAAGAATTAGGTAAAACTTGTTAAGGTTTCTGCTTTCACTACCAAATAGTTGCATGTTAACAATGTGTCTGCCAGTTCTTAAATGTTTTACAGCTGTTCAAAAAGATTTTTTACAAATAACCTGGTAAAGTATATGAAATTTAACTCCCTGATAAGGCCTTTAAGGGCCCATTAGTACTTTACAAGTTGGTATCTGATGGTAAGTGCACAATAATGAAATTATGAAGGTTAAAAAACAAAACAAAACACCCTTGTATTTAGTCAAAGAAAAAGTTTCCTTAAGCTAAAAGCACTGACTTAAATTTATATACACACTTAGTGAATGTAATTAAAAAATGGTGTCTTAGGGAATGTACAAAATTAAATTGTATTAATTGTATTCTGGCCCCATTCTAAATAGAGAGGATGCTGCCCATTAATTTTTGTTCCACTAGTATGAGTTTTAATTCTTAGTGTCTGCTAAGGCCAAAGAATGCTTTACAATTTAACACATTTTATGACAGAAAACGCTCATGTCATAGGTTACCAAATATTGCTACATGGCTCAGCTTTGTAGAAACAAGGATTTTTTTCCCTCTCACTATACAGAGTACATGAAAGTGCTGAAAATTTTCTATGGTTTCATGTAAGAAAAGCCCCACATTCCCACTATGGAAATACTACACCTGATAACTGCCGTAGCTGTGTCTAAGAGTTCATTTGAAAATGGTCTTGAAAATGCATTTTATTGAAGTGTTTCATTTCTACAATGAAGAATTAAGGAATGATTGTTTTTGTGCCACTCACAACCTCAATAAGCCAATAATATATATATCGAGTGAGCATAAGTGCTCATCTTTAAAAAATCCTCTTTAGCCAGGCATTTCCTCATACTGCTACACTCCAGTACCGTCAGGATTGTAAATCATTAGGAATACCTTCTCTATACATGCCACGTTGGTTATACATACAAAATTTTAGTTACATTAGTAAGAGAAATATTTAAAACTGACATTCAAGTGAGCAGTAACATTAACCTCAAAACATCCCCCAAGTCATCATCTACTTGTTTCCCTATTTTACATATATTGCAGTTGAGACTAGATTGGTAAATTAACTTCTAAATTGATTCAGCATAAGCAAGCAGCTGTTTGTGGATTCTTAATATGGAAATAATATATTAACCGAAATATAACTGTCAAATATTTTAAACCATATAAATAGTACAGCCAAGTTTGGAACTGGAAACATAAGTACCATCATAACTAAATATATACAAATTTAATGCTAAGGCCAAACATGCTCATTTTATTCGGGGTAAGGGAAAAAGAAAAGAATTTAACCATGCATACATAAGTCCTGTTGGGTTCTGAAACTGCTTTAAAATTAAGATGAGGATTCAACTGGTTATCTCAATTTGATGGACAAGTAGACTGTAGTTATTTTAAATTTTAACATTATTTGTGAGAACTCTAAAAAGTTGATGACCTGCAGTAACACGCAATTTTGTGGAAGTAGGAACCTGAATCTTGAAGGGAAGTGAGTGTGTTGTAGAAATTATTTACCAGAGACTAAGTAAGCATAGCTGGCTGCTTTAACCTACTCATCTTCAATTAAGAAAACCTTTATGAAGTGCTACAACGGGATGTGCTAAGAGCTGTGGAAATACCCCTCCAAGGATCATAGGAGTCTGTCTGTACACCCTCTATTATTTGCTAGAGCTTATTACAAAATGGCTCAGGAAGATAGATCACAGGACCCTTTTATAATATAAGTGAGTTTCCTTTTTAAAGGAATCCCAGCTGCAACACAAAATGGGTAGCAAATTCCCTCTAAATATAAAAGTTCCAGTGTTTACACTGTTAATTTAATACTAGATCCTCCCATATTTTTCTAAATGTCAATGAATGAAAAACAAAACATGTTATGAACAAACATCCAAAGGCATAAAATTGATACACAATTTTTTTCAGGTTTGCAAATTTGCTAAAATTTTCTTCAAATATATTAACAATTATCAATAAACAAATTGTTCTTTGGGTTAAAAAGCATGCTTCAATGCTTTACTGATGGTATATAGGGAAAAATCTACCCCACTCCCCAAACATGAGATAAAGATTCAGTTTATATATCATATCTGTATTTCTAATCTTCCCAGACAAGATGTGAGAACAGTACTAGAATAAACCAATGTATTGTGAAAATGCTGTGCAAAAAAGCTCCTAGTCTTATCAGTAAAAATATTACGAACATTTAAGCAGAAAGATTTTGTTTACAACCTATTGCCAGAAAATTTTCTCCACAATTATTTTCAAGGAAATAACACTTTAAAGTGACAAAGGTATGAATATTACTTTTTTTTCCAGGAATAACAATTCATACACATTGGAGGGCTTTTACTCTGGGACTGCTTACTCTGGGTCTAAGCCAGAAAATTGCCTCATAAGAAGTAAGTTTTTTGGTACTGCAGTCCTTAACTCCCTTCATATAAAGGCCAAGGTCTGTCTTATGCAGAATTATACTCTACAGAGTACTGTAAACTGGGTCCAACATATCTACCTTCATTCAAGCCCACAATAGTCCAGCTGAGAATTCATAATGGCCATTCATATAAATGCATCCTTCAGGACTCCATTACAACAAAATCGGCACCTAGAGCTACATACATGTTTAAAAACTTAGTGACAATACCAAAGCTCTCTCCCAAAATTCCACTCAAAGCATGTGAAGATAATGAAATGACAGTTAAGGAGGCTTTTCTTTTCTGCCTGGCTATTTTCTTCTGTAAATTTGTGGAGCACACATTTTTTCACTGTGGAGCATAAAATAAAAATTTAAATGGTGCATGATAAAAACACTTAAGATCTGTATCCCTATTACTGAATCCTAATTTTTGATTCTCAATAGGAAAGTCATGTTGAATTATAATAATCAAGCAATAGTTCAAACAAAAAGACTAAAAATAATTTGAAATATCAAATTACAAAGTATTGCTTCTCATAAACAAAGCTGCACATAAAATTCAAACTGTTATAAATTCACAATTATGAAGAGCTATTTAAAAACATGGAAATTTTTACTTCAAAAGCTTACAGAATGTAAGAGTGTGTGGTCTTCTAAAAATATGCCATGTTAAATATATCATGTTGTGGTAAACACATTAATAGATGTATCTCCATATTATGTATCTTTCCAGATGTTGAACATCTTTACGAAAATTCCTTTGAGATGGGTAATGTGGGAATTTTCAGTACATTTCCACCTGATTTTCTTTCAATTCCTGTCCTATAACTATCATGATAAACTTCTTTTTCCGAGTGTTACATTACTTATATAAGCTGATAATGGAAGAAGCTCTGTTAATTTTCAAGCAGATGACTATTCAGTGCACTGGAAAGATGGATTTCAAAGCAGTCCCAATACAGCTCACAGTAGATCTCTGTCAACCCAGTGTTCTTCCAACTCACTGCAACCCCTAGCTTAAATGGCCACTACAAGTACGTAAGTGAGTGGACAGGAGGGGAAGGTGGTAAAAACAAAAACAGGGATCTCTTTGAAGGCCTTTTCTTCACTGCAGTCAGGAACATTGCACATCTAAAACTCATGTTAACCACCATCTACTGGAATGACTGGAAAAGTGATAACTTGCCAATTGTGCTTCCTTTTTTTTCACACCACTGAGACAAAATACTTTGGATTTAGTGAAATCCAATTGTTGCATCAAGTGCTTAAAATTTTGTTTTCCAAAAGAATATGAACCGATCTTCAACTGTAGGTATTTTTTTCTTTCTGTTGAGTCACCTGTTTACAAACAAAATAATAAAGTATTAAAAAAGGATGACCTATTAAAGGCAGTGTGTTTATATGTTCCCTCACACCTTTTCCAATATCCGGGATGAACACTGAGTTTTTCCTTATAAAAGGCCAGTTATACAAATGGTGTGCAGGAGACACTTTTTAAAAAAAAGGATACGCTTGTACTCTTAAAGCAATAAAAATGAAAACAATTAAAATACGGATTTTGATCAATTAAAAAAGGCTGTATGTTAGATTCAGTTTTAATTTTAATCCTTTTACTCTAACATTTTATGTCAAAACTACATACTAAAAAGGAAAATACAATCTAAAATACTTGCCTCATAAACTGCCATATAGTAAGAACTATTAAAATGGCATCTTTAAAATTGACAAGGGAGCAGAATTTATTATATCGATATTTAGAGAGCAGGATTACACTGGTCTTTTCAGGACTTTTTAAAATTCAAAATAGTTGTGTTTGAGATTGATGAGCTTACTTATGGCATAGGAGCATTTATATAAAAGACCTACTTGTCAGATAAAAGCTGACATGCACATGAATAAAGTACTAACTTATTTTATCATAGTCCTGCGTTATCTAGCTACATGTGGCTATTGAGCACTTATAATAAAATGTGGTTGGTGTGACTGAGAAACTCAATTTTTAACTTGATTTAAATTAAAATTTGAAACAGTATAAAATATTTATCCATTAAATACAATTTTTTGGTTTTGGTAGGGCATTTCACTTTCACCACTGAATATTTAACATCCAAATTGAGATGTGTATGTTGTAATTTGCACGAGTAAATGTAAAATACACAATGGATTTTGAAGACTCAGTACAAAAAAAATGTAAATTACACTGAATTTTTTATATTAAAAACATGTTGAAAGATACTATTTTGGATATATCATGTAAAATAAAGTATTAGTAAAATCAATTTCACCCATTCTTTTTTACCTTTTTAAATGTGACTATTAGAACCTTAAAAAAATCACACCTGTGGCTCACACTGTATTTCTCCTGGACAGCATCATTGTAGTTACTTCATAAGTTTCAGAAAGACCCCATAGGAAACAAATTAGAAACTCAACAAAAAATCCACATAATTATATATATTTCCTTATGTGGAGAAATACCCTTCAAGGATACTGTTACCTATAGCAACCTCTGGGATGAGGCAGAACAGGGGATTTTCAAAAAGAGTATGCAATTACATTAACAATTTAAAATCTGTAAGAACGAAGCTAATTAATGGGAAATGCAAATGATAGCCCTTTTTGCTTTCTGCAGAGGGGTATCTCAAAGTTCAGAGCTTTAGAAATGATTTCCCAAGACCACACAAGGCAGTGATATACAGACAGCTCCTTTATCACTGCCTGCTCAATCTGTAGGGATTACCATTAGGTCTATGGTGTGTTTGTGGTGTTGCATACATTCAGTCTTTTAAAAGTGGCTTTGCAAGTATCTGAGGTCCCACATTTTCTGGAAGTATTTCATTGTTTCTTTCAGTATTATACTACATATACCAGCCAAAAAAGGGAAAGTTTTAGGCAATTTTCAAAGTGGTATTCATCATGGGCATATTCTTAACATCTGATATAAGGCAAAACTAGAAGCCAAAAGATAAATACCATCCCAGCCACTTGAATATATGAAATTCTGTTGCAGTGTCTGCGTGTTGGGCAAGATCTGGTGGGAGGGAAGAAGAGAAACAGGGATGGGCTGCCCTGAGCAGCTGCTGGTAGGACATGTATCCTGACTGGGCCACTGCAGGCAACTGTCATAAAAGGACTAAAGACTCATTTCTGTGAAGGCCCAGCTGTGGGATTAAGTAGTCAGTGCTAAAATGGTGGTTTCAGGCATGGGCTTAGCAGCTCACTGAGAAGCTACAAGCAGAAGCCGACAAGGCAATAAGTAGCAAGCACTGTAATGACTACAGATATCTAGTGAGGAAGATTTCCAGTCAGGCATACCTGAGTATCTAGACACATTCGCACACTGAGCAGACGCACTGATATACTGACATCCCTCTACAAAGCATAGTGTAAATATGTACAGGCACAAATGGTTTGAAATTATTTTGGGATCCAAAAATAGTAATTATATAAAGTGATGGACTGAGCCTCTAAAAATAACAGGAAAAAAGGATACCAACAGCCCAAGACCCGTGGCAGGACAGCGGGACTATGGAACGTTGACTGAAACACATTAAAGGTAACATACAACCACTTATCAAAGGAATGTATTTTTTTCCCCACCATTTTGTTAAGCTGTGCAGATGCTGCTAGGAAGGATTGGGGTTGGGAGTGTAGAAGAGGAACATTGGACCCATGCCCAAAATGAATAGGTAAAAATGCTTTTAGTATATCTGATATCCAAAATAGTATTTTTGAACATGTAATCAATATAAAAATTAATGACGTAGTTTATATTTTTTCTGTATTATGTCTTCAAAATCCAGACGTATTCCTGCATATAATACATCAGGTGTACTTGGTCAGAATCCTGGGAGTGAAGGCCAGGAATCTGTACTTTTAATAAGCTTCCCAGGTAATTCTTATGACCAGGCATATTTAAGAATCACCGTGATAACACGTAAGTTTATTACTCCTTTACTCACTCCCTCCAGGACTATGAGTCTTCCCCTTTGGGTAAATATTATGAAGCTATATACTATTTAATTTATAGTATGCGTTATCTTTACTGATTCTATATATTTAGCATAATTTGTGCCACACTACTTTATAATTAGCTTATTAAAATATACTGGAGTACAACCCTCTATTACCTTAAGAGAATGCCAAATATGTAACCAATACCCACAAGGGTACTCAATAAAATAATTTTTATATATTATGTTAACTGCAATTTTAACTAAACAATGCAGTTTAACTAAACAACGCACAATAAGCCTTAAAATGATCAACTTTAGTTTTAAAGGCTTATAGAAAGACTGATCTTAGAAAATTCCTTTGTGGGCAGTGAATAAGACATCAAAATTTGATGTGCGTAACAGTTTGTAACCAAAATGCTTCAGTTAGAAAAAGACTTTTGTTTTTTAAAGCTAGAATAAGAGTATCCTCTTCACTTGGGATATGGCTGTACTCAAGAAATTTTTAATGACCAAGATATAAAAAACAGGATTTACAAAGCAGTTTCTTGCTTTTCTATTAAGTTTCTAGAATCTACAGATGGAAAACCTGAAGTTTACAAATTTATAATCCAAGCTATAATTGAGCTGTATAATAAATAATAAACCTGAGACTCCATATAACAGGCCTCATCATCCAATATAAAAGCTGTTTTACCAGGTGCTACTGAAGAAAGTAAGACCATTTACTTGTTAGTTTTCCCAGTCTGTGCAAGGCAAAGCCTCCTCTTCATCTTCTGACTCAGGGGATGCTTCTTTGATTCTTCTAAGAGCTTCATGGATGCTCCGTGTTAAAGGGTCTGTGTCAGGCAGAAGCGTGAACGATTCTCTCAAAACTTCCTTCTGTACCTTCTTCAATTTTACCCCCTTTCTTATTTGTGCCAAGATATTATTACTGTCATCTTCATCAGGAAAAGGAGGCAGAGTTCGCTGTTCAACCTTTTTCAGATGAAAACTACCACGCTTCAAGGAAGCTAGCACCTCGTCCATGGGTGAGCTCACTTTAGAAAACGAAAGAGAACAATTACAGTTAGGATCACACTTAAGAAGCAAACTATATAACCTGTAGACTTTAGGACTGTGAGAGCCCAGGACACTGGGAACATCATTTACAAAATGGACCAGGAAGTGTGTACAGAAGGGTTGCCAGAGCACAGGGATCCTAACTATGCTTATTAAAAAGAAATCCCGAGACTTGAGTTCCATGTCAGGTATTAATGGTATTCCTATCACTTTCCATGTGAAAGAAGGGAGCACAGTGGAGGCTGGGAAGTGGTCTTTAGTAATATAACTGAGGCTTCCAAAGATTTCCATAATGTACCAGCTTAATCTAAATTCAGGCGGTGACTGGACCAGCCGAGTGGCTCAGTTGGTTAAGAGCTTACTCAAGAGTGCGAGCTCTGAGCAACAGGGTCGCTGGTTCAATTCCCAGCCCGAGCTGAGCTGCTGCTGAGCTGCCAACAGGTGGCAGGATGGCTCAGCTAAAAAAATGAAAAGAAAAACAATAAAGTCAGGTGGTGACTAGGTTACACATTAAAAAAAAAAAATTTTTTTTTTGGTTCATTATAGTGATTCCCCCCACCCCTGCCCCAATTTGGTTGTTTTACGTATGAAATTCTGCTTGGGTTATGGTAAAAACATATTTTACAGGATGGTCTCTCAGATTAAAATGTACTATGTAAAACATTTTATTTTATGTTCTCCCTATGCAAACTAAAGCTCCTTAAGTGCCAGTGTTATTCTGTTCTTTTCAAAACTAGTTTTAAGGCATATCTGACATGTAATAAATAGTACATATTACAACCTATTCCTTTTTTGCTTCTTTATAAAAAGAGTATACCAAGGTCCTCAATAAAAGTGACCAAATGTTACAATGTCCTGCTAATGTCATCCTACTGTGATAGTCCTGACCAGATGGTTTACCTCTGAAGTGAATATCTTTCTTGTATTTCCCAGGTTTAAAATCAGACTTTCTAACTGAAAAGGAGCCACCTACTATGTATTACCAAATAGATCAATTATAACTTCAGAAGATATATTTTTAAAATCATGCCTAACAGCTAAAGAAGGTATGCATTTCTCTGTCTATACACATTTGTCGATGTGCGATGTGCGCTGATGGGAATTCTGCCCTGCTGAGACCTTGAAAACCTGTTTGCTATCAAACACTGCCCCAAAATAAAATGTTTTAAGTTCTGTAAGGTCCTATGGAATAAAAAGTCCTTTGATTATGACTTACTTTATTCAATAGATGAACACAAAAATATCTTTTTAACTTACCTCTCCTCCTCTGTAAACCTTCAGCAGTCTTTTTGAGCTTCTTCCTGGCACTGACCAGCTGGCTACTGTCAAAGAGGTGTGCTGAAGGGGCACTTGCAGACTTCGGGATCCTCTTCTCGTTTCCCTCCATTCTAGGCTGACCTGTCTCCAGTGTCTCTGGGTTGTTGTCCTTAGCAACAGGCAGAGGTGGTGGTGGTGGGGGAGGGGGAGGAGGTGGAGGTGGGGGAGGTGGTGTTGGAGGAAGAGGTGGTGGGAGTGGATCTGTGGTAACAGAAGCTGGTTCAAGGTCAGTATTATTCAAAAGTGGAAGAGAAACAGTGGGAGGCAGTTCCGAGGTAACACCACTGAGAGGTAATGAAGTGGCTTCAAGTTGCACGAGGATCTGAGCTTCTGTTGTGTGTGATGACCCAAGCTTGCCTCTTCCTTCCCCCACCTCTTCACTTTTCTCTTCTACCTGTAGCACTCCTGGTAGAGAGTCGCACTGGTCCTCACAGGGCACAGGACTGGTGGCACTCCTTCTTCTTGCATGAGCCAGTCGCAACCTAGTTGATTTAAGTATGACTTGGCCAGGGTACCTCTAAAAAAATCAAAAGTTATAATAACTGGTTAAATTATATTAAAACTAATTATGAACAAATGGCTATCTCTTTTGTTGCTCAAATGTAAGATGTTATTTTGGAGCTTCTGTAATTTTCAGGGGAAATTCTTTAATAAAGTTATACAGAAAGCCAGAATACCAAAGAGTAATACCTTTCCAACAGCCATTACCAAAATCTTTCTTATTTACTTATCAAATCCTTTATGAAGGCCTTATCACCTTTATCTACTTAAAAAGTCAACTGTTCAAAATTACTACCTGATTTAAAAAAATATATCTTTACTGAAAATTATGAATTTAAATGGAAAAATAAAAGCAATGTAAACTACGCAAAATAATGTCAAACACATATATGCACAAAGCAAAGGAACAGCTATTAATTAGTTTCTTATATGTATTTGCAAATGCTTACAGAGAAAATGTTTTGGAGTACTGATATATAGAACTCTCATTCTATATTTTTAGTTTAGTAAAGCCTAGGATTAATGCATTCTTAACTCAAGGCTTATCCTTGTATTAAAAACTCTGCTCCCCCTTTCACTCTAATACTCAACCCTTTCACTATAATACTAAGAGAACTTGATCAAAAGCTTCCTTCACCTATAAGATGATCCCTCACCATAGATAGCAGAAGTAAGGCTCCTGAGTCCTTTAACACTAAAACCATTCAGCTTAAGCACAGTTCCAAGGAAATATTTAGCTGCTATGATATGAGTCCACAGTTAAGGGTTAATCTGGTGAGAGAACTGCTGAAGCATTTCTCATGTATGTGGATCCACCCTCTAATTCTGCCACTGGTCATTTCCATCGATTATTACCATAGGTTGATGTATGTGGAATTAATAACAAACTGATGCTCGAAATGGACAGCTGGCTGTGGCCTAACCATTTTATAAAACTCAGGCTTCCCAGAGGTTTTGACCATTCCTCTTATACTACACTGAAGTGGTAGGCCAAGGATCACAAGAATATTAATTCTGGAAACAACCAGAGGAAGGTAGCCATGCAATCAAAACATTAATTTAAAAACACAACAAAACGGACTGCCATGATAATAATTATTTTCTAAATAAGAAGGAAAATCAAGCTTTTCTCATACAAAGAAATCTTACAATACGAGAGTGTATCTAGCTCTGTTTAAAAAGCAATGGAAAATAACAAATTGACCATATTTTTATTACCTGTTTAAAAGTTCGAAGTCTATCCAGTGTTCTCTGTCTTTCTTGGCTAACCCAGGCACTTTTTCTTTCTTCTTCATCATGTAATTTTTCTTTCTTCTGGTGAAAAATTAATAGTAATTCCATTACAATGTGTCCCATTCCTTTTTGTCATTAATAGGACTTTTTAAAGGTATCCAGGCAGAAAAACCAGGTCTCATAAGGAGGGGGGAGGGGTTACCTCAGGCCTCACCACTGCAATATTCAATGTTACATGATAGTATGGCAATGTCTCCAACATTTTGATAAAGAGAAAAGTGACGGTATGATACAGCCAAGTTGTTCTTCATGTATAAAGGAAACAGACAAGCATTCCCCAAACATGTCAGAACTCAGAAAATACAGCAACCATGAAACCTTCTTGAAATAGTATCTTAATGAAATCTACCCAACTCCAAGATGAATCAAAATAAATTCAGGAAAAGAGAAGTGGTGATGGGGAGTACTTACTTGATGGTAACAGAAGGTAACCCAAAGTGGGTTTCTGTGAACAATCTGTTTGTCAACCTGGGTTCTGGTTATATAGGTATATTATTCATTTTGTAAAAATTCTTCAAATTATACACTTACGAGCTATACACTTTTCTATATGTATATATATTATGTATATATTATTCTTCAAAATAGCAATAAAAGGTTTTCAGAACAAAGTCTTGTTTTCTGGTCAAGATGGTGAAGTAGGTAAGCACCATGTTGCATTCTCTCACCAAATCAAAATTACAACTAAACTACAGAATCATCATCATTGCGAATCACCTGAAGTCTAGCTGAACAGAAATCCTACAACTAAGGATATATAGAAGCCGCGTCAAAACTGGTAGGAGGGCAGAGACACAGAAAGGGCTGGTCCCACACCAACATGCAGCAGTTAAACAGCAGGAGGGGTATCTCGATTGTGAAGGACCCCTGGAGAAGCAAGGGGTCCAGACCTACACCAGTATCCCCAGCCCAGGGTTCTAGTGCTGGGAAGAGAAGTCCCCATAATTTCTGGCTGTGAAATCCAGTGACACTGTGGCTGAGTAAGACAGAGGGCTGCTGGAGTCTGAGAGCTAAAGGGGCAGCTTTCTCCCAGACAGAAGTGCTGGCAGAATCTGTTACTTCTTTGTTGAGACCTCCCCCTTCCCAGCTGCCATATCTGAGTCTCCATTAACCTGGCTAACACTGCCGACCCTGCCCTAGTGGGGTGCCACACCCCACCAAGCTTGCAGAACTACCCAAGCCACTTCTAGTGGCTATTCCATACAAACAGCCTGTCTTGGCTCATACTGTGGACTTTTCTAACATCTCTCAAAGGTTCAAAAACCCCAAACAAGTAGCATCTGGCCTTGGCATGTCCTGTACCTCTTGCTGAGCAGTTCCAAGCCTGACAATGATGGCAGCTGGCCTCAATTTGGAGCTTACGAGGTGTGATTACAAAATATAGTGAATGTTTAAATTAAAAAAAAAAATTATTACAGTAAAAGACACATTGCCATTAATCCCCCTCAAAATACTCCCCTTCGCTTTGCACACACTTATCTCATCATTCTTGCCACTTTCTGAAGCAGTTCTGGAAATCCCCTTTCATGAGTGTCTTCAGTTGTGCTGTTGTGGCTGCCTCAATGTCCTGAATTGATTCAAATATGTTTTCCTTTCATGGTCATTTTGACTTTGGGGAAGAGCCAGAAGTCACACGGTGCCAAATCGGATGAATAAGATGGATGAGGACACACCGTAATGTTTTTATTTGACAGAAATTGCCATACCAGAAGTGATGTGTGACATGGAGTGTTGTCATGATGGAGGATGAAATAAAGACAGTCACAAAAGAGGACTTCCAGAACTGCTTCAGAAAGTGGCAAGAATAATGGGATAAGTGTGTTCAAAGCAAGGGGAAGTATTTTGAGGGGGGTTAATGGCAATGTGTCTTTTACTGTACTAATTTTTTTTTAAACATTCACTGTGTTTTGTGGTCACATCTTATAGCCTCTCCCAGGAATCTCCAGCCCACAGTGGGTGATGGCTATCTGTGGATTGCTTTGTGGCTCATTCCAGGTGGCCCTGGGCAGGGCACACACTGCAGCTGAGCTTGGTTTGCAGCAGGGCCCTGGGCCGGTATGCCTCGGGGACAGCTTCAGACCAAAAAGGAGCACCATCTGGCTGCCTCCAAGGATGACACATCCAAAGGGCAGATTGGGCAGATACCAGAGCCCTGCTAAAGTAAATCCTGTTCTGTAGGGTCAGCATCTGCAGAACAGCTCCTCCACTGTAGTCATAGCCTGTCATCACAACTATCTGCACAAGGGTCACTCTCTCCTACTGACATGCAAACAGCAACCAAGGCTCAACTACAACAGGAGGGCACACACAACACACACAAGGGACACACCTGGAGTACCCGGCTCAGGTGACCACGAAGACTGCACCACTGAGACCCCACAGGACACCTACTACATAAGGCCACTCAGCTAAGATCGGGAGACATAGCAGCCCTACCTAATACATAGAAACAAACCCAGGGAGGCAGCCAAAATGGGGAGACAAAGAAACATATCCCAAATAAAAGAATAGAACAAAACTTCAGAAAAAGAACTAAATAAAATGCAAATAAGCAATATACCAGATGCAGAGTTCAAAACACTGGTTATAATGATGCTCAATGATTTCAGAACCTCAACAAAGACATAGGAAACATAAAAACAGAGATAGAAAACATAAAAAAGAACCAGTCAGAAATGCAAAATGTAATAACTGAAATAAAGTATACATCAGAGGGCATCAACAGATTAGGTGAAGCAGAGGACTGAATCAGCAATTCAGAAGATAAGGTAGCAGAAAACACCCAATCAGAACAGCAAAAAGAAAAAAAATTTTTTTACATGAGGATAGTTTAAGGGGCCTCTAGGACAAGATCAAGAAAACCCACATTTGTATCATAGGGGTACCAGAAAGAGAAGAGAGAGAGCAAGGAATTAAAAACCTATTTGAAGAAATAATGACAGAAAACTTCCCTAACCTGGAGAAGGAAATAGACATATAAGCCAAAGAAGTGCTGAGTCCCAAACAAGATGCAGCCAAAGAGGCCCACGCCAGGATACATCATAATTAAAATGCCAAAGCTTAAAGACAAAGAGAGAATCTTAAAAGCAACAAAAGAAAATCATTTAGTTACTTACAAAGGAACTCCCATAAGACTGTCTGCTGATTTCCCAACAGAAACTTTACAGGCCAGAAGGAACTGGCACAAAATAAGTGATGAAAAGCAAAGGCCTACAACCAAGATTCCTTTGATTCTAAATGACAGCTTTGATGGGTATAGCTAAAGAGCGTCCTGGACAAGAAAAAACTAAATTTGTTCATCACCACCAAAACTGCATTACAAGTAATGTTAAAGGGACTTCTTTAAGAAGGGGGAAAAAAAAGATAAATATGAATAATAAAATGATAACTACATATTTAGCAACAATCACTTTAAATGTAAATGGATTAACTGCTCCAATCAAAAGACATAGGGTGGCTGAATGGATTAGAAAACAAGACCCTTACATATGCTGCCTACAAGAGACTCACTTCAGATTGAAAGACACACACAGACTGAAAGGGATGGAAAAAGATATTTCATGAAAAAGGAAAAAAAAAAACCGGGGCAGCAATACTCATACCAGACAAACGACTTTATAACAAAAGCTGTAACGAGACAAAGAAGGACCCAGTAATCCCACTTCTGGGTATTTATCACTACTTCAAAGGGATATGTGCATCCATATGTTAATTCCATTTTTTACAATAGCAAAGATATGGAGGTAGCCTGGGTGTCTATCAACAGATGAGTGGATAAAGAAGAGGTGGTGCATAAACAATGGAATATTACTCAGCCATTAGAAAGAATGAAACCTTGCCATCTGCAGCAACATGGATTGACCTCGAGGGTATTATGCTGAGTGGAGTAAGTCAGAGAAAGAAAAGCCATATGATTTCACATATATGTGGAATCTATAGAGCAACATAAACAGACAAAACAGGGACAGACTCATAGATACAGAGAACATTTTGAGGGCTGTCAGATGGGAGGGGTGTTGGTGGAATGGGTGTAAGAGGGGAAGGAATTTAAGAGGTACAAATTGGTGGTTTCAGAATGGTCATGGGGATGTAAAGTATAGCATAAGGAATATAACTATAATATTGAAATGGTTATGTATGATGTCAGATGGGTGCTAGATTTATTGGGACGATGACCTTTTTAGATTGTATGAATGTCTAATTATGTTGTGCACCTGAAGCTAATATAATATTGTACGTCAACTATAATTGAAAAATAAAAAAAAATTATTTAAAAAAACAAAAACAAAAAAAAGTATTGTTTTAAGAAAATGAGAATAGACAGTGATTGGGCAGGACACATAACAGAGCATGGAGGAAGTAGGTAGTATTAAAAGAAGCCATTGTGAGCAAAATAATCAAAAAAGTTCTGATAAGTTTCCATAAACTACAGCTTAAACGTATTCCATGTGTACTTTCTTAAAGTGAAAACCAAGATTTATGAGTATGGTTACATAAGACAAGAATGCATTTTTTAAAGGGGAGAGCTAACTTGTTTCCTAACCACCATGTCCTCCCCTTACCCAACTTATCTGAGCTTCAAAAACAAGTAATTTTACACTTCTTAAAACTACTCTGTTGTAGAGTTTACTATCAGATAGTAAGCTTCCTTCATCTTACATATTTAATTTGCAAGGATTTCTAAAAGAAATTTTGGAAACAATAAGGCTAAAATCTAGAGATCTACATTTTAAACAATCTATCACCCAAGAAATTTTGATAAAGATAGTTTAAAATCAGCTTTGAAAAACAATGATTTAAGCCAACTTTCATTTTCCTCTATGGTGCATGTGAACAATGACTAGATGGTTAATAGATTCATTCTCCCACAATGAGGTATTCTACCCAAAGCTGGTATTAGGCAAACTTAATTACGCAGATGACATATATCTTTGAGATTCCATCAAGTATCAATTTCCTCATTGCCCCATAAAATTCTTTGAGAAAGGATTTGATATTCACTTTAACAAGTTAATTAGTTACTCAATCCAGCAAAGTATTGGCATTTCATTAGAATTCAAAATCTTTATGTAATGAGGAACAACTTGTAAGTGTAGAACCTCAATTACAAGCTGCCAGTGCAGGTACTGATGGTGAAAGTAGGGGGCATTCTCATATACCTGTTCTGCTGGCCCATTGTCTAACCTTCCTTATAAACCAGTTTCTGACCCATGAAGAAAGTAATGAACAACAAAAGTGCAATAATTAGCTTTGCTATTTCTACCCTCTAACAGAAAGATGAATCATATAGTTAATGGGTAGTCTGGCTACTTTTTTTTT